CCACTTGCCTCTGTCTCCTGAGTGCTGGGACTGAAAGCGTGCGCCACCACTGCATGGCACTAAAATTTTAATGTAGGCATAAAATCTGAAAAATAAATAGGCTATTATTAGAGAGCTAGTAAGCCGGGAAATTATTTGGATTCATGAACCATACATCTGTCACTGCAACTGTGGTAAGAAAGCAGCTAGAAAAGCATGGCTATATTCCAGTAAAGCTGTACTTATCTCAATGGATGGCTAGTCCACAGGGTGGACTTGCTGATCCCTGCTTGAGATTACAGTGTTCAATTAAGTTCTGCTATTGATGAAACAAACTAAAGCTGGATCAGTAACAATGATATGTGACTCACATTTTGTTCACAAAGAAGTTTTAGATCATCTCTCTGGGGGGAACTCCCCACACCCCACTGTGTCTCTAAGTCATCAATCTGGCTTGGTGGATGGTGCATTATTGGACGGACATCACCAGCAGCAGTTGGATCTACAGTCAATTCTTTTACCCTATAAATATATAAAAGTTATCTAAAATTATGAAAGGCTCATGCAGAGATACAAGAAAACACCAACCTATTCAATACAAAAGCAATTAATGTAGTAAGATTGATGATGTCACTTTATATGTCCAATTTATCTAAACTCTGTGGATTTGTTGGTTTAATGTGAGTTTACTTAAACAACTTTATACTTACTTCTTTTTTTTTTTTTTAAAAAGATTTATTTATTTATTATGTACACAGAAGAGGGTGCCAGATCTCATTACAGATGGTTGTGAGCCACCATGTAGGTGCTGGGAATTGAACTCAGGACCTCTGGAAGAGCAATCGGTGCTCTTAACCTCTGAGCCATCTCTCCAGCCCCTATACTTACTTCAAGTGTAATTATTGTTCATAGTCAGGGAAACTTAGCAAAGTATATAGATTAAATATTTCAAAGAAATAAACTATAATTACAATTACATTTTATGATACAAAAATTGTTAAGATCCATAAAGAAACTACTGCTGAAATCAGGGGAGTTTATATCCTATTACGATTTCAGCAGTCATACTGCTCAGCTAGCTAAGTAAAAAATAATTTTATTTTACTTATTGAGACAGAGTCTTGCTAGGTATCCCTGGATGGCCTGAAACTCAATGTGCAAATCAGATTGATCTGCTTGCTTCTACCCTACCCTCCCAAGTGCTGGGATTAAAGGCTTGTGCACCATGACCAGCCAGTCATTTTTATCTTGAATGTCTAAAGACTGTAAGAATCTTAACTTCTGTCATGTTTAAAAGCTGTATATCTTAAGTTCACAAATTTTAAAAAAGGATATACTTTATGAATCACAAGGATCATTATTTTCTTGCAGACAAGTAACTTTTTTATCACACAATAAAGATAAATATGCAAAAGTGACATCATCTTTTAAAAAGCAAAGGAAAATATGGAGCTCAAGTTCTAAATAAAAAATTTAAAGTAAATTAATGAGGGACATAAAAAATGTGTATCATGCAGTACAACCACCTGCTAATAAATGAAGTGTAAATGAAAAATGGCTTAGAACACAAGAAATAAATGAATATCTATACGCAGCACAATTCAAAACAAGCTAGTCAAAGAAACAAGGCAAGACCTGGTAATCGAAGGAGAAAAGTCGTCATAATCGTAAGAAGGAGAGAGATCAGGGCGACTGCCACTACCCTGGGAGAAGGGAATGTCTGAAGGACTAATTCCAAACTCCTTTACTCTGCGGTACCAAAACAGTGAAAATTAAAAGAACTCTTGGTAAAGACAGCAATGCACAGTTCAACTTTTGTTTAGAAAAGAATATTAACATCGTGGAGTGTATTTTAGAACATTACTTCATAAATAGGTTTCCAGACATGTTTTATTGATCCCCTTGCTCAAAAACCCTTAATCTTTCCTTTCCTTTCTAGTTTACTTCTCTCTTTTCTCACACATCTTCCTAGAAACTTCAAAGGTCCTTTGCTTTAACTATGTGACCCATGCAATCAAATTACTAAAACCAACCAGATTTAATGGATATTGGCATTTTTGTAAATAAATCAACATTGTGTGTGTGTGTGTGTGTGTGTGTGTGTAAAGTTGAAGCGCAATGTCTTCCTCAACTTTGTCCATTTTATTTTCTGAGGCCAGGTCTTTTAACTAAGCCTGTTGCTCAGCAATTTGGCTAGACTAGCTGGCCAGTTTGCTCCTGTCCTCATCACCCCAACTCTGGGATTACAGGTGTGTGTCCTGTGTTCATCCTTTTTACACACATGCTGGGGGTCCAACCTCAAGTCTGCACACTTGAGCAGCAAGCACTTTGCCATCGGAGCTATCTCCCCAGCCCTGAGTCCTCAACACTTTTGCAGTTCTTTTCAAACCAGATATGAGAATGAATACCTTAAGGCATGCCCAGTTTGTAATGAATTAAGGTTAACTTATCCATCTAGAATTGTATTAACTGTAAAACATCCTCCATATGATGGAGAAAATAAGACACTCAAGTTTTTGTGGTTGGTGGTGCCACTTATGAATGTGGGTGGTAAATAGCCTTTAGGAATGGAATTTAAAAATGTTTTTGCTAATGACAACAGTTACATATAACTGAATTATAACGTTTCTCATCTTGCCTTATGTGACATTTTATAATAGGCAATATTTATCAAGTACTAGAATTAGTAACATTTAGGCATTATATTATATAGACCTGATAAGAATCTTATGATATCTTCACATCACAAATGAGAAAACTGATTTAGATAAATAAAGTACCTCATTTGAGGTTATTCAGAAAGAATGTGGTGTAACTAAAATACAAGCTTACCCAAGCTCAAATCATTTCTATGCCATAAGACACTATCTGAATTCTATTTTTCTTAGGTGGAACTAAATGCATTGTCTTCCTTCACAAGCCAAAACCCAGCCAAATACCATTAATCTCATATAGATCAAATGAAGGTGCACGCGCGCGCGCACGCACACACACACACACACACCCCACATATTTCTACTCGTAATCTATCCACTGTTGAAGGTTTAATATCAGATTGTCTATCTTTACCATTTTATTGGAGGCACGTATATCTACAGCAGCTACCCTTGATCTTGAGATCCTCCTGCCTCAACCTCCTGAGTGCTAAAACTATAAGCATGTGTCACTAAGTCTGGCCTTTGCCCTTTTATTCTTCAAGATCATCATTTTGGAAAGTTTATTTACTACACCACTGAAAATCTAAATTCTGAATATGGAAATTAACTTTGTTACTCCTATGCCTGTTTCTCATATGTTTCAAAATCTCCTCATTGAGTAGTACTATTAGTGTCAACCACAAAAATGTTTTCTATTACATATCCTCTTGTGCAAGTACATATACCAGGTACAGAATAATTTTCCTAAAATTACAGTTAAAAACAATTTCAGTAACTCTTCTGTTTCAATCCCTCCAAATTCTTCCTTTACCCACAGCATATCCTGTGCTTCAGAAAAACGTTTCACAAGCATCTAATACAGCTTTTCCTCTTGAACAACCTACTCCTTCCTTCACCTCTCCTCGCCATATTTTTTTCCTTTTCTTTCTTTCTTTTTTGAGACAAGATCTAACCTAGCCCAGGACATCTGGGAACTTGCTGTGTAGCTACTGGTGACCTTAAACTCCTGATCCTCCTGCATTCACCAGACATGCTAGGATTATAGGCAAGTGCCACACACCTAACAGAAGATCTCAATTTTATTAATTGATTCAATTGGACTTGTCATTTAACATCAAAATACATTGTTCCAAACTATCCCTCAACTCCCATAAAACACTCCTAAAATACATAGTTTTGATTAAACTGAAGTTTGAAAATAACTTTCAAGTGCTATGCTCAACATTTTACCAAGATTGCTTCTCTCAGTTCTTAAAACTGTCCTTTAGGGCAGGTATGATCATTGATTTCACCATTCTAAAGATAAGGAAACCAGAGCACATTAAAGACTGTCAACCATCAAGTAGTGAAACAGGTATTAAGCCTACTTTGTCCTAAGAACTAACACTCTTCCACTGATAGGTTGAGTTCTAAAAAGCAAACACTTCTTTAAGAAATAAACAATTTGCAGGCTGGGGGTATAGCTCAATTATAGAGCACTTGTCTAGAATGGTCAAGGCCCTAGTTCAATCTCTAGTATGACACTGTGTGATAAAAATCCTATGTGTTTAGCCAAGCATGGTGATGCACACCTCTATTCAGCAACTGGAAGGTAGAGACAAGAAGATCAGGAATTTAAAGCCACCCTTACATAGATAATGAGCTGGGAAGCCAGTGTGGGTTAGTATACTATCACCATTACCTCATCCTGTCTAAATAGTCAAAATCTGAAAAACTTGTGATCACAATCTATCAACCAGTCTCATATTAGCAGGAATCTTTATTGCCTGAAGTTTTAAGACATGGAGGGGTTTGCTTTAATTCTATTAGATGTAATTAAAAAAAATTTTTTTATTTGATTCTGTAATAAGACTATCACAGAAAGTTATTCCCTACCCTTCCATGAACAACTCTGGGAAAAACAAAGCATCTTTAAATGGTTTTTAAAAAACTCACACATCCTAAAAAAAAATTAATAATAATAATTTAAAGACAATATTGTCTGTAGCTAGGAGTTCATACTTCAAACTTTAAAAGTTAAACCTATTTAAAGCTATACTTTATTTTTAAGTAGCTATCATATTTTGTATTTTTGTGGGTTCCCCACCCCCGAATATGAGAAGAGAACCCAGGGCCTTATCATGCTTGCCAAACAAGGACACTGAGCTACATACACCCCTAGGCCAATTGGCTAGTGTTTCCTAGCAATGTTTACTATCATTTAAACATCTCTTCAGGTGAAACATAAGCATGATACAAAAGATTAAAAGAATGATCAAAATGCAGTTACCTAATGATGTGCAGATACATGTATAGGTATGAAGACTATCTTTAAAAAGTTAAAAAGGAAAATAAGAACAGTATTTTAAAGTATTCAGGTACTTCAAGGTAGAGAGTAACAGGCCTGACATTTATAACTTGCCAACAGAAGGAGCACGCCTGACCTTCTAGAGAGGCTGCTTCCCAGCCTCTTCTGTTCCACTGAAGAGATTTCTAAATGACAGAAACATTACAAGAATTAAATGCTCCTTTGTTCTTTTGGATTTCAATTTTTAACAATTCTATTATCGTCGTGTGTATTGTGTACACATTCCCCAGTGCATGTGGAGGTCAGAGGACAGCTCTGCAGAATGGGCTTTGTCCTTCCCCATGGGATCTGGGGGCCGAACTCTGGTCATCAAGCTTGGGTGGCAAGTACTTTTACCCACTTAGCCATATCGCCTGGCTTGTTTTTAGGTACTTTTCTACACAGATGAAGTTCTTCTTTTTAAAAAGATGAAAAATAAAGTCTCCATTTTGATTGGAACAAGAAGTAATACGTTTTTGAAGAAAATTAAGACAATCTCCACACTAGAAGTAAGTTATAAAGAATAATCTGTAGGTTAAAATTGTTTAAGTGTAACATGATAAAACATTTAAAACTTCAAGGGGAGAGAGTAGAGCCAGATGAGTTAGGGAGAAGTGTGTATGTGAGTGAGTTTCATCAAAATATTGTACACATATATCAGATTCTCAAATACAAATATATTTTTTAAATATGTAAACAATCACTCAAAACAAGAAGCGTGTGTGTTGTGTGTGGTGCATGCACATGTAGGGATCTACAAAGCAAACATTTCATCCTAACTCAGGAGTTCCAAAGACATCTAAAACTATTCATGACTATAAGATATAAACTCTTAGTTCTCAGTGCATTTTGTCTCTATGTAACAACCCTGTTGGTGTTGAAGTTGGAAACATTACTTATGTGAATAACAACATATAATCTGTACACAGTACCAGAAAGAACTGATATATACATGTGTATGTATGTATTTAATTGAACATCATCAGGATAATTCCAGCATAGAGCATAACAATTTAAGAAATTAACACCCTACTTTCCAGTTTAGCCTTAATAATATAAGGATTTCCATTCTTGAAACATAGTAAAATATTATGAATCATAATGTTGAAATGGAAAAATATAATCATGTTCTAGGATCAAAAGGTCGACTTTAAGTAGAGATGTCAGTCTCACCTATTTCTGTTCATTTTTTCAATTTAACAAAACAATTCTAAATAATGTCCCCTTAAAGAACATAAAACTTAAGGAATAGATGTGATAAATTTGCCCTATTAGGTTTTCTCTTTGCTGTGATAAAGGATCTCATGTTGGAGGTCAGAACAGTTTAGAACTTGTGGTCCTTCTGCCTTAGTATCACCACATGCTACAACTACAGACATGTTTCCCCAGCGTACAACAATGACACTATATACTGCTCTAATATATTAGAATTCAAATTTTAAAATGGAGGAATAACTTTCATACCTATTTGCATATCTTAACGTATTAAGGGTATTTTCACAGGATGCCATTCCTGGAGAGATTGTGGCAATCTATAAAGGGGGGGAAGCAAAGATAAAATCATAAATGCTCAAGACAGTGACCTTGACAGATAGCTCAGTAGGGTCTAATCTTATAATCCACTTTAAAATGTCCGTACTGGTATCTGACCTCTAAGATCTACCTACCTAGTACATGTAATCATTATAAAATCCAGTTAAAATTTTCAAAGATTTTTCTGAAGGTACCAGAAAGTCATTAAAAATCCATCAGAAAATGAAGGCAAACATTTAGAAAAGGGAACAACACAGACAGCCCCTCCACCTATTTTTACTGTTAGTAATGGAATAGTATTCTTCCAGAGACAATGCCCTGCCAATGTCCCACAGGACCACTGAAGTCTCTCTAGGAACTGCAGTTCCAGGTTGAGAAACTGGAGAACCTAGCAGCTGGAAAACGTAAACCGTCCTATTAGAAAGAGAGGAAGACTGAGCGAGAAACTCAAAGTGTATGCACAGTTGCACAAATCTCTGGTTGATCCATCTAGCTTGCCATAAACTCAACAAATTGTAAGCAACACAGTGAAGTGCATGAAGAGATATCTGAAAGAACTTAGGAATAAGTTAACATCTGCTACAGTAACAACAAATTAGATTAAGACAATCCAAGTTTCTATGAAGTATTCAGACATTAGAATTAAAAAGCATTATAGCTGCACTAGAAATTTTCCAACCAAATGGCAGGGACCACATCTTAAATACCATAATCTCTCACACTAGAAGGGTAATTAATTATAATTAGCAAACATCTAAAATTTTCATATAATTTCTATTTATTCCTTCAGGATAAAAACAAAAACAAACAAATGAAAAAGCCAACTTACCATGCAAGTACGAGAATTTTCCCCTATGAATGAATCTCTCAACACCTGAGTGAGTTTACTTGCTCGGAAAGGAGTATGGGGTTTATTTCTACCTAAGGCTCTGATGCACTCCTAAAAATTAAGAAAACGTTTCTTACTAATTAGGCTTTATGAGAGTCATTTTAAGCAACATTTTAAAGAGATTTCTTACGTGCTAATGTCTAAGGACTAATGAGCTCTAAAAATTCTAACTTTTATACAACTTAACGATGGTTTCACAAATATTAATTCAAGAAAATGAGTAACAACAAAAACAAACCTTAGTTATTCCAAAACAATCACAGAATCCTGAAAACATGACCAGTTAGAAAGGTCAGGCAGCAGGAAAGCTGTACGAAGCTGGGATTTTGAAATGGAATCCCAAAGGCTACAGCTGCTTTACTGTAATCCCTCTAACTCCTGATTTTCCAGTTAAGGGGAAAACATAATAATGCTTTAAAGTAAATTATTTTGGCTCAACACTTGCTTTTTTTCTGAATGCTATTCTGTTTCTTTTAAGACATCATTTCGACCCTCTCTTGTCCCTTTAAGGTCACTGTAGTGCTTTAAGAGGCTAAGGGTTAACAGCAGGGGGAAAGAACTCTCCATCAAAGCCAGGGAGGAGACTGAACACCTTCTCTGTGGACGAGAAAAAACAAACAAAAAACCCAACAGTTCTTAGCTCAATTCCACAGTTGCTTGGTCCTCTGAAGAAAGCCTGGATGATTATGGTCCTTTAGAATCTAATTAAGCAGCTTCAGAACTAGTCTGTCAATTCATTTCATAAAAACAAGGGAAAATGTGTGTATGCAAAAATTCTACATACAATAAAATCTGTAACTTCAAATATAACAAGTTTATAAATCTTTTCTTTTACTAGTTTTTTACAACTAAGCAAAATTAAAGTCAAAAGTAAAAGACCTTTTGCAATTAAATAGACTTTCCTTACCTTGAGTGCTAAAAGGCTTTTATTAATTTCAGCACCTTCAAGCCTGGTTTGCCTATCTGCACTTGATGTATCAGCTCCTCTTTCATTCCCAGCCAAATCAATGAGAGAGAATTTGCCATGGAGTTTTCCCTTCCTTCTAAGAATGATCTGAAACACTGCATGACTCCGAGATGAATGTGCATTTGCAGATGTTTGACCGGATGTTCTGGAATGTTATTAAGGACATAGTGACACATCAAAACCTTTTATGTACATTATTAGCCACAGTATTTTCCCTTAAACCCTTCCCTTTGCTGATATGCTCCCCCCTCGCCCCCAGGCACTGAAGCAGCAGGTTCCCATTAGGACTCACCTGCAGCTGTTGCCAATGTCAATGAGTTTCAGTACATCTTCCACACATTTGACCTCCCGTTCCTGTAATCCTACCACTTGCACCTGCTGTTTTCCATCTTCTAATACTCTCAATTTTGTTTTCCTATTTAATAAGTCAAACACCTACAGAAAATCATATGCAAATTAGAAAACTAGCTTCAAAAAAAATCAGCTCTAAAATAATAAGTCTAAAATAATAAACTATTATTTTCAGAACAATGCTCAACATTGAAAGCTTGAAAAGACATTTAAAAGTCTCAGGACATCAGCTATTATATTTACAAGCATATAAATGTTGTGACAGTGGAGGTCATAAAACAAATCAAATATACTGAAGGCCACTGAATTGTACACTTAAAAACAGTTACTGAATACACACACACACACACACAACCACATTTTTTTAAAAAAAAGGTCTGAAGATTGGAAGACAACTCAATTGTAAAATGTTTGCCAAGTCAAATACAAGGACATGAGCTTGAGCCCAAATAATTACAGTATTGGGAAAGTGGAGGCCCTGGGGCATGATGGCCAGCTAGTCTATGCTGATCGACCAGCTGCAGGCCACAGTGAAACTCCCTGTCTCAAAAATACAAAACGGATAGCTTCTGAAAAGTAACACATGAGGCTGACTGCTGGCATCTACATGTACACATTTCTAAATGCACAGACACCCACCTACACACATGCACCCATATACATGCACTCACATACCACCCCCATACACAAAAGAAAAACAAAACTTCTCACATACCTTTCCACTATAAATTTCAAAAAATGTTGCATATACTTGAAGTTCTAGTTTCTTATAGTTTGGCTTCTTCAGCATTAAAAAGACATCTCGAGCTGTCAAAAATTTCACACATGAAGTTCATTAAAATGCAACAAATCTTTCCTATTTTTAGAAGAATCAGTTAATATTAGGTTAATATCAATAAAATAAAATTAAAACAATAATTTGAGAAATCAAGTTGTAAAAGAAGCTATTCTCTTTCACACTCCATGAAAGGATGCTACTATTTATCCTTGAAAGGGACTCACCATGTAGCTCAATTGGTAGTATTTGCCTAGTATGCATAAAGCCCAGAGTTCAGTTTGCAGCACCACATGAACCAGGCATGGAAAACCCTATAATCCCAGCATTTAGGTGTTAGAGGCAGGAAGACCAGAGATTCAAGGCTATCTTCAGCCATACAGCAAGATTGTGGTCGCCTTGGAATACTTGAGCCCTTATCTCAAAACCTGGGGGGGGGGGGGGTAGAAGGATGATCCAGTAATAATTAGCCACTGCATAATCTAATAGTTTGCCACATTACAGTGGCAATTACTGTATGCCACTGTATATGATTACAATATATATCAAGATTTTTTTTTGCCACCAAAAGCTTAATCTTATACTTCTTTTATGACTTTTTCTTTTTTGAGACAGGATCTCATATAGCCAAGGTTTGCTCTATGGCCTTAAATTTGCTATACAGCTGATGATGACTGTGAACCCAATGATCTTGTCTCCACCTCCTAAGTACTAGGATTATAGGTGTGTGCTACCATGAGTGACCATGACCTCACATTTCTTTTCAGCTAATCTGATAACAAACAGTTGATCTAATATACCGTGTGTATAGCTGGACAATAAAAAGTCTTATTCAAACACACCTGAATAATATTCAAGAATATCATAAACTATGCACACAAAGGACACTTACCTGCTAATGCATAAATTCCCTTAGAACAATCCTGGTTCTTTCCTGAAAAGTCACCACCCATAGTCTACATTTGGGAAGAAAATAAAGAATACAGATTATTCAGGAATAAATTTTAATAATTTAGGTCTTGGGTTTGGGATGGTAACTCAGTCCATAAAGTGCCTGCTACACAAGTATGAGGACCTGAGTTCTATCTCCAGAAACCCATGTAAACTAATCCAAGCACAGCAGTACATGATTATAACCCAGAGTTGGGAAGGTGGAGACAGCAGATGCCTAAGGTTTCCTGGACAGCAACGCTAGTTTACGTGGTAGTTCCAGGCCAATGAGAAACTGTCTCAAAAAATCAAAGTAGATGGTATCAGAAGAATGAGTCGAGTTTGTACTCTGGTCTCTACCCAGAAGAATTTAGGCCTTATAATTAAGCTTAAGAGGGAGACTGTAGCACCATAGCAGGATACAACTTTAGCAATTACTTACGTGAGTTTTTCCACTTCCAGTCTGCCCATAAGCAAAGCACGTAGCCATTCCCCTTTCAAATATTGTTTCCACTAGTGGTCTAGCAGTAAATCTTAAAAGGAAAATGAAAAAGTGTGTCACAAATATCTGTGTTAAACAAGTAACCAAAGCAATACAAATAATATAAAGTGTATTTCATTAACAAAATACAGGAGTTTAAACAAATGTTTAGTTTCAAAAATTGAAATATCAGGTTGGTGAAAAAAGAACTGTTGCTTTGTACCATGAATTTTAAATACAAACATATTTCATGAACAAAACTAGGAACCATTACAATCAACACATTTTGGGGCCATATCTATCCCTACAGTGTTAAAATCGGTGCTTTGGGATTATACAAACTTCTGCATTCCTCTGGCTGTGGAAATGTTTTCCTTCCGATAATTTGTCAAGATGCTTGAAAAGGTGGTAGCTGTTTGGCAAGAGACCAGGTGAACATGATGGGTGAGGCAAAACTTTGTAGCTCAATCTGTTCAAGTACTCAGTGTTCCTGTGAAACATGTGTCAGGTGTAATGAGAAATGGGGACCCTTCCCAATGACCTCTGCCAGCTGCAGACACTGCAGCTTTTGGTATATCTCTTTAGTTTGCAGAGCAGTTTCTCAGATGTTACGGTTTTGCTAGGATCTAGAAAGCAGTACTGGATCACATGAGCATCAGATCAACCATGACCCTGAACTTTTCTGGGTCCCAGGTTGGGTTTGGGGAGCACAGTGGAGCTTGTTCTCTCGGTCCTACCACTGAGCTGGGTCTTTGCACACAACACACTTCTTGTCACGTACGTAACACAATCAGCTTGAAAATGGTCCACTGTTACATAGGATAAGAAAGGTCAAAAGCTCAAAGTAACAATCCTCTTTTTCGTTTCGTTACTTCATAAACTTGTAACTATATCAAGCCTGGTCACCTTTCCAATTTGCTTCAAATGTTGAACATGGAAAACTGACTTATATGTGGGGAAAAGAATATAAAAATGGCAAAAAATTAGCTTGGTTTTTATTTTTTCAAATATATTAATAAAATTCATTGGTACAATTAAAATTAAAAAAAAAAAGAAAGAAGCTCAAAATGTTTGTTAAATCTATCATAGATTATACCTGAATCAGTACTCAAAAACTATTATAAAAACTAAATTTATACTTTATGAAATGGGAAGGAAAGAAAGAAGTGTTTGAAGAAAGCTAAAACAAATTACCAGTTGTGATTACAATTCCCATTTAAACAGACACCTCATAATATACCTATTTAATATTCCAATGTTCAATTCTTAGGATTCTTTGGTTTTTATTTTGACAGGGTTTCTCTGTGTAGCTTTGTGCCTTTCCTGAAACTCACTCTGTAGCCCAGGCTGGCCTCAAACTCACAGAGATCCACTTGTCTCTACCTCCCAAGTGTTGGGATTAAAGGCGTGCGCCACCACCGCCCGGCTTTTTTGTTGTTGTTGTTGTTTTGGTAGGATTGTTTTAGCTCTAATTTTCTGTTTTCTGGGGATTTTTTGAAGTGAAATTGGGAAATAAAACACAGCATGCAAATAAATGCAAAAGTGTATCTACATGGAACATAATGGCAATGCTGCAAGAATCTTACAAGTATTAGAGGTATGTTTACAAAGTAATGTCAAAAATCTACATGACATAAAATTTTTGGATGTTTATTTATTTAATATGTGTAAGTCTCACTTCTATATAAATTGAATGTAAACTAAGAATTACATGCACTTTTTAAAACAACCACCAAACTTAAAAGACGATAAAAAAAAAACTAAACGAATGTACACAGATTTACAGAACTTTTCACTTTTATTTGTAAACACATGCTAAGGAAAGATCAAGACTAACTAGTGATTAGTGCATAACAGGCATTTCAAATTTATTAGTACAGGGATTAAAATAGAAAAATCCGTGTTTTCTATGCACCACATCCCATTACTTATGGTAGTATTTCCCAGAATTTTTTTCTTTTATTTTATGTGTATGGGTGTTTTGCCTACAGGTATGACTGTGGAGGACAGAGGTGCATCTCAGATAACCTGAGACAGATGGCTGCAAGCCACCATATGGATACTGGAAAATTAACCTAGGTCTTCTGGAAGGTGTTCTCACTGCTGAACCAGCTCTCCAATCCCTCTCAGAAACTTATCGGTATGTGTGTCTATGATATGTGTAAATTAACTATCAATTAGCATAAAAATATTTTTTAAGACAGTGTCTCTCTATGTAGTCTTGGAGCTCACTATGTAAATCAAATCAGGCCGGCCTCCAACTCAGAGATCCTCCCGACTCTGCCTCCTGAGTGTCACCATGCCGAGGGGGAAAAAAAACAAAACCCACCTAATTGTTTGAAGTATTGAAGAGATTACATGTTAAAACTCGTAAGAGTTTATTACATTTTCTTCAGTTACCCTGCAGAATGAGAAAGCACACTCCACCCCTGGAGAGCTGTACTACGAACACAAGGAATTTATATAAGTCTAAGAAGAGAATTTTAATCTAAAACAAATTCACTTACCTGTAAACCATTTCATTAGGAGCTGAGTCATCAAAGGCATAATCAAAACGAAATGTTTGATTTTCTAAGTACCTTGTTAAGTCTACTTTTTGTTTGGGTTCATGTACCATCACAACATCTTTACTAGGGATTGTGATTACATCGAGATCTTTCATTTGAGTTTCTAAAAGAATAAATTAAAAATCAATGTTCAGTAATTTTCACAGCATTTGATCTAATGAAAATATTTTAAAAAGATTTAAAGTCTTTAAAAATTATTTTAATATTGTGTGTGTACATGGCATAAATGTGGAAGTCAGAGGAAAATTTTAAGTTAGTTCTCTCCCTCCACCATGTAGAACTAGCAGCAGGCACCTTTCCTAAACCATCTCAATAATTCCTTTTTTGAGATAGTCCATCCTCCTCCTCAGGCTCCCAAATGTTGGGATTACAGGAATTATGTTACCATGCCTGATTTCTAAATCAACTCTCTACAAAGCTCATTAAGCATCATACCTTTTTTATTGAGTGGTCGTTTCCTTACACAAACACATATCCTATGTTCATCAATCTAGGAATAAAAACCACATTATTTCACTGATTATAAGTGCTATGTAAAACAATAGAAAGTAAACTATGGTTCTTAGAAATTTAACAAATATAGTAGTTAAGCTTTAAAAAACAAATTATCATTGCATAATTTATTTATTTTATGTCTTTTTTTCCTTTGGTTTTTGAGACAGGGTTTCTTTCTTTCTTTCTGT